AACGTATGACGTCGCGTATTTCGAACTTGGCGGGAGACTGGTTTGACGTTGTTAACGAAACGTGCTGTTGCGTTGACAGCACTCAACATACTAACCTCGAAACAGTCTCGTTGCAAAGGGGACAACTCTGTCTTAACTACCGCATTGTCTACATAACGAAAATAATCTTCTTCCTGCCATGAGAGCCTCAGTCCACTTACTTTCTGAATGTGCCTTGTATATTGTTAAAATCGATGCTTTTTTCTACAACTTTTTATGCTTTTTTCCAATCGATGGTTAAAATTTCAATAAGTAATTTTTCATAAATTAAGATTTTGATATTGAAAAAAACATACATTTATAAACAAATATGCTTAACTTTTATACTGCAACGTCCAACTTCAGCTGGCCCACAAGTAATTAGCTAACACTGCGGTCATTTACGAATATTGCACGAGAATCGATTTACTTTCCTGTTCATTCGCTTTCATTTCAATGCATTGCCTGACCTTAACCCAAGAACAAAAGGGGTGAAAACTAATGTACATATACATAAGTATATCAATGTGTGTGTGTGTGTGTGTGTGTGTGTGCAGATAGAACACCAAATTTGCATGTCAAAAGTCAGATCAGCGATGACCTTGCAAGTTTAAGCGCAACGTGCGCCAAAAAGAGGAAGCGAACACTAACAAGTTCTAACTAATAATACAAACGAAAAAAATTATATTTACCTAAAAACTACACGGAACACTCACATATGCGTTCGACCAAACAACAATAACAAAAAAATAAAAATACAATAAAAATAGATAAATTCTTGCCAAAGACTGATTACATGCATTTTATGTAAGAAAATTTAAAGCGAGGAAATGGCCAAATGCACGCAATGTTGCAAGGCTAATCGGTGTTTCACTTGACACCGCCCGCAGAAAAGAATAATAAAAATAAAGCAATACAGTTTTCACTCGTGGAGAGCCCACTTCAAATGTATGCTGGGTTGCATTTATCTCCACCATTTGCAAGCAGACAAAATTTACTGTCAAACTATCGTGCTCTGGCATTTATTTAACTAGTTTTCACAGCGAATCGTGGTTTTTTTTGGCTAATATAAAAATGTATTACATTTTATTACACACATACATACGAGTACCTACATGCATAGCATGCATGCATATATTAGTGTTCACTAGGTTAGTAGTAATATGCATAAAACAACATGTGTGGCAACTTGAGCCAAGTGCTGCTGGCGGCCAGCAAATAACCGCAAGTTCAGAACAAATGTTGGTTATTGACACAAAGGAAAAAAAAATTCAAAATTGGAAGAATAAAAAAAAAAATTCGTCGTGAAAAATGATGAATATAAATTCATACATGTACATACATATATTAGTAGAGATAGGCAAGGTCAGTAGCACAGCTGTTACGCATGGTATAACAAGTTTAATGTCTTAATTTAGGTCATATTCTTTTCTACTAGATGTGTACGTTTACGCGACTATAGCCGAGTCGACAGCAGCGCGCCTTGCATTGCTTATTTTCGCTGTTTGGCGTCAATTGAAAATACCAGGTACAGCCGGGTTCTTCTCCACCTGGTTTTTCCAGCGAAGTGGAGGTCTTCCTTAGCCTCTACCCCCATCGTCGGGTAGTGTATTCCTATCCATCACATGACGTAGCGGAACTATATCAATGTCGCCGTATTTCTCCTACAGCTCAACAATCCATCGTCTGCGGTATTCGCTGTTGCCAATGCGCAGAGCACCATAAATCTTACGCAAAACTGTTCTTTCAAAATCTACTACTGCCGACTCATCAGATGGCATTGTCCATGTTTCTACAACAAATAGCACAACGAAAATTATGAGCAACTTATTGAGTTTGATTTGTGTTGCAAGAAAGTGGCAGGCAGGACCGTGACATCAAAACACCTACTTGATTTTACGATTTAGACATCATGGTACTCCACAGTTTAGAGAGCTAGTGGAAGTATCAGAGCTAGATACCAACGCACATCGCAAAATTTTTGGACATATTAAAAAGGGGAACTTCAATCTGTGTCTACATAAGTCCAACAGGTCTTTGTATGACATTTCAGTCAGCCAATGTAATCTAATCTAACCTAAAATAGTTGTCACAGGCAAGGAGGCGATGCTTTTTGCGGAGTTGGCCTTTTAAACTGCAGTTTATTGATTTGTATTTAAGTGAGAGGGAAGAGCAAAACGCGCCAAGCTGTAAATCATCATGAATAAAAACTTTAATCGAATTTTTCTCGAAACCACGTTTCTTCAACTGAGTGAATCTCTCATTTAGAACCTATTGAACTCTTATCAACACGAACTAAACGGGATTTTACTTATAAAATGTTTCTCGAAAATATTCATTGGTATTTAAAAAATTTATAAACAAAATAAGTTAAGAAGTCCGCCTTTTTTTTGTTGAAAATGTTTCACATTGGCCATAGCCAATGTGTTACACAGTAAGAAACCGTTTTGAATATTGATTTTATTTTAAGAGCTGCTATTAAAAAAAAAAAATATTTTTATATTTACGTCTATTTATCTTTATAAACTTTGATTCATAAATATTAAAAAAAAAAAATTTTTTTTTGAAAAAATCACGTTTTTTGGAGGAACCTGGCCTTAATAATGAAGAGACCTACTCCTATCAGGCTTACTCATTATCTGGCCTCTAAGATCTTGAGCGACTAAACATCGCAGAACTGTTTTTCGTGATTGCTTAGGACGCTTTAAAAGAGGAACTATTAGCTTCAGAGACAAAAACCGTCCTGTCCGATCTAAAATCTTTGAAGCTGAGAAATTCGATGGCGCTATACTGGATCAAGAAAACCAACAATTGATGCGAATTGTTATTAACTACAAATTATGCGTTTAAGCCTTACATTAAAACATAAAATAGCTCAATGATTGATCGAGGATAGAGAGAACTTTCTTACTTGGGGCGAACGCAATTAGAAAGATAAATTTTCTATAAATCAAGGTGTTGGTAAAGTTATCACACTAACCCTGGAAATATAAAAAATAGAAACTTAAAAAATTTAAAAAATATTAGTTTCGGTAAAATTTTTTTTTTAATTTTTCAAGCTATTAAAATGGACACTTGGGACTGGTTTTTTCCAATTTTTTTCTGCCATCTCTAAGAAATTAGTGAAGTTTTTGGAACTTTTGAATATATATTTGACCCACTTAAAGCTTTTAACATTATTCGGGTTTAGTGATTAAACTCTATGTAAAACGTGTCGCTAGTGAGATAATGGTGAGTTTCAAGCAAATTACTTGAAAAGTTGAAAACTAAGGACTTTAGCAAGAAATCAGTAAACTCCTCTTTCAGACAAAAGTAGTGAAACTAGTAAGAAATTCCATTAAATCTGACAAATGGACGAAAAATTACGCAAATCCTCTGCCAGAGCGTTTCGTTTAGCTAATAGCGTTGACGCCAAAATGTATGCTACACTTTTAAGTTGAGACTCACATTAAAGAACTATTGTAGTATACATTGAAACTGCAACATTACCACATGCATACATACTCATACGTAGTTGCCAACGACCACCCACTACTTAATCAAAAAACTACCTGCAGCGTATGAAAAAAGAAAGAATGAGTAAAGTATAATATATAGTGAAAATTAATAGAATAAAAGTAACCAATTGAACTTAGACTACATGAGATGATTGCGCCGCATTTCATGACATTCAGAATGACACCTCATGCGGCACGTCGATTCAATAGTTTGGGAAAGGAAGCGTATGCAGGCAAGGCGGAAGCCTAAAATGAATGCTTGAACACATGCGCTGCTGCTGCTGCTACTGCTGTTCATCCACAGCTGCCCAAAAGCGTAGGGGTCACACTAGGTGGCTCGTAAATCAATTGTGTCACACACTTACTTATTACATATATATATATATATATATACTGATGTATAACTACATTTGTGTGTGCATGTGCGCCTCCGCAATTAAAAGTGAATTTCTCACGCTCGCTGCCGCTGTGGCATCCGATAAACAGGGCAAATTGGAACAGATTTCATCGCCGGTTCTCTGCGTTCGCCTCGGTCGGTGTGGTCGATTGCATGATGGCAGTAGCGCATTTGGACGAAAAAAACTTCACAATGAGAGACTGCATATACGAGTATATATATATATATATATATATATATAGCATACTCGTTTATGTAGTTGCCTTTATGACCACCTTTGCCATCCGTATAATCGTTGTGGACGGAAAAGTGGCAATTTTGTAATCTCGAATCAGCTGCAAAGTATATGCATATATACATATATATATGTTGTGGTGGCGTCACAGTATATAATTTATTTCCTTTTGATTTTTGAGCGCACACACAACCCTGTATATCAATATTTGTTTATGTATGCAGGCGTGTGGCTGCATGAAGGTGTTCCAAATCGGTGCACTTATGCCGCCACGATACCTTTGAGTATGGCATAAATGAAAATATTGACACATTTTTAAATTTATGATGTCACTTGCGCAGCCTATATATGTATGCATATATATTTGTACATAATATGTAGGCTTTCAGATGCAATACACAAACATATGTGTATGTGTGAAGCGTATGCTTGTTCTTCGTACTTCATTCAGGTGGACAAAAGTGCACTTGTTCGATGACTTAAACGCTATGCACACAGCTATAATACATATATTTTTTATGCAAATGGATTATTTCAGCGAATACATACTTAATTAATCGCTAGCATATATTATGCGAGTTTTCATGCTGTCGCTATTTTCTTGAATTTTATTTAAAAATATATGGAATTTTTTCGATAGGGAAAAATAAGAAAATAAATGTGTATAAATGAAATATTTATCTTTTAAATAAATACATAAAAAGTATGCAATAAATATTTTTTTTTTTTTTTTATTTTTTACTTATTTTCTAAAACTTTTTTAACCTCTTTAACTATTATATAATTATTATATAGTTTTCATATAATTATTTAATGTTAATCCTACTGTTTTTGCATATTCTTTTATTTTCAGGTCGTGCTTGTATTTATACTCAGCATTGCATCACTCATTATATACTTCGTGGATGCATCTAGCGAAGAAGTCGAAAGATGTCAAAAATGGAGTAATAACATTACTCAACAAATCGATCTCGCATTCAATATATTTTTTATGGTTTACTTTTTTATACGAGTAAGTTGGATTTTTAAGTTCTTTTGATTTTAAACCCCATAATATCCCTTATTAAGTGAAATATTAGTTTTCAACAACTTTTAATTAAATAAAAAATTGCAATTGAGTCAATACATATCAAAATGGATTAAATCCACAAATCAAGATTTTTTAGTCCTCTTAAAAGAACATAAGCCATCGGCGAGCAGCTTACTATAAACTGTAGTTCCCTTCATTAGAGGAGGAGATCGGTGCATATACAGGGTTTTCCAATAAGAAGCGATAATTTCGTATTTAAAAAACTGCATTTACGAGATAAATGATCGGTTGTCCATTGCAAAGAGAAATTAATAATCCAAACCAGTATCAGACAAGTGGCAGCTACGGCTACGTATCCTTTTTCTGAAATTTTCTTCACCAAATCGCAAAGTGGCTGCTGTATGATCTCAATAGCTTCATGAATACCATCTTTGATGACTTGAAACAACGTTGCTCTGTTCAGAGCAAGTACCATCTAATTCCGGGTATGAAAAATCATTAATAAACTGTCCATAGCGCAAACCATTCACTGTAACTGTTGCTTGAAACTAATTTTCGACTATAAACTGCACTGAATAGTTACATGTTGAGAATGGAGAGGCTTCTCAACAATAAATCTTGGGGTTTCTGAGCTCCAGTTGCGGCTGTTCTGCTTATGGACATTGCCAATGAGGTAAAAATGGCTCTCGTCAGTAGAGATGATTTTTGGATGAAATTTTCATTATCATTTTCATGCATTGCAAGAACCCAATCGACCAGGACAGGACTTTGTTGATGATCGGTCGCCTTGAGGTTTTATGCTAACTGAACTTTATAAGCTTTAAGACCCAAGTGTTTTTGCAAAACATAGTGTAATGACGTTTGCGGAAAGCCCAATTCCAAAGAACGACGAGAAGTGGACATATCTGGATTTTCTTCGAATCCTTTGGGATCCAGCAGCAATATGCTCAGTTGTTCCTGAGCGACGTGCACGTTACTAACTTGTCCCAACAGCTCCAACTTTGTCCAATAGCATAAGTTTTGTACTGTGTTCTTATAAGATGCTTCACGACGACCGAAAACTCGTCTCTGCTGGGATTTCACGATTTTTTTTTGGTGAATTTTAATAACTTCAATGCGTGCTTGAAGAGTTCCATTTTTATTACTTACATAGTTTTTACTTCTAAAATGTCAAAAAAAATCAAAAAAACATAAAATCAAAAGTGCCATCTACCGGAATAACAACCTTTTCAAAATAATACCTCTTATTGGAAAACCCTTTATTTGGAGAATATACTATCAGAGCTCTAAATAAAAAGAGAACATTATACTGCTTCAATTTTGTTACTTTCTAAAAAAGTTTTGTTCATATAATATCATTAGTTTTGAAAACTTTGATTTGTATCGGCTCAATCACGATGACAAGAATTGTAATTTCTTTGATAAGCTTTGATATTTCCAAGACGTTATTCTGCAAAATCGATCTTGCTTATAGATGAATACTTTCCTATAAAGAAAGTTTAGCCCGATTCTGCTTGATCTGGAGAACTACAGACACCTTTAGGATCGTAAAATCACTTTAACTTCCGCGATAGATAGGACTCTGTCACCTCTGGATATTAAAGCAGTGGACGTTACCTTACTTTATTCTCCCCAATGCCATCTGAGACACCAAGTGTTATATTCCATTATCCCTCTGTTCCTTTCACCGGAGTAGAAGTCTAACTTTTCCTCTGTATTCTCCAGCTTACCGGACGAAATGGCCTATCCAGCCGTCTCCTGATTCCCTGAACTATGTCAATATCGCCTTATATCCTCCGTTTCAACATCTGTTGTATTTACCTGTCTTTGAAAACTCCTAACGCCGACTAATCGGAGCTTATTGTCGCCCAGTTCTCTGTTGTTAGTAAGCCTTATTCTGAGTACAGTTTCAAAACTGGCATTGTTGTTGGTGTAGAAGCTGGTTCCAAGATAGTCGAAATTATTTAAGACTTCAAAGTTATGACAGAAAGTAGAAAAGGAAAGTGCTCTCTCGGCGAACGAAAACCAAAGTCAACAAGTAGCTCATCGTTCCCGTTTTGCTATATGGCGATGTCAACATCTGATGAGTCAGCTCTGGTCCTTTGGTCCTTTGCGCATTGGCAACGGCGAACATCGCACGCGATGAAACGATGGCTGATGAGCTGTGATGATATGGACATTGTTCAGCGAATGAAGAGCCAGCGGCTACGCTATCGTTCGAAGTACCCGCTGGTGGAAGCAGAGCAAGAGGCAGATCTCCACTCCGTTGTAAGGACGTCGACTGTCTATTGTGATTGCAACTTATCATCCAACCTACTTAGCATTTGAGTACGAAAACTCTTAACGGCACAGAGACGCGCGGGTATCATCGAAGCGGCAAAATTGGGATCGAAGTAGATGTTTGCTTAATTTGTTTTATCAATTCTTCCATTCGGATATAGCCATGGTGATGGATACAGTCGTACACAGGTGGCTTAGTATAGCTGCAGGTTCCTTCAAGTTTTGGAAAAAAATGAAGACGTAGGAGGGGCTCGGCTGAATATCGCTTCAGCGGTTACTAAGCGCCAATTATATGTATATTATATAGAGTGATGTTCGCTTAACCAATCAGCTGATGAGCGGCACTTTCCCCACATTAAAAATTAATGGAACGGATACTCGAGGTAGGGCATGTAGTTCAGAGGCTTTTGTACGTTTACAGTGGTCGCCATTGAAATCAGAAGCTTTTTTATTTAGAAATAATACAAGCAGTTCGAGAAAAGTCGCGTTTTTGGGTTACCCTAATCGTTGTGCCTCACGGTTACAGTTGAATTCCTACATACCCCGCCTTCCCCGCGGTGGACGGATAAAAATAGGTCTTTCTTAGACTGAAATTGAGGTTTAAAAATTGTCCCACCCCAACATTTAAATAACCAATCAAAGCTTTAGCAGTGAATTTCTTTCTCTAAAATTTTTAATTTAACTATTTTCCTTTAATAATATTATTTCGTAGTCTTTTCGTACGTATATAATGATTTTCGTATTTTCTATTTACATTTCCAGTTCATAGCGGCGTCCGATAAACTTTGGTTTATGTTAGAAATGTACAGTTTTGTAGATTATTTTACAATACCCCCGTCCTTTGTATCAATATATTTAGATCGGACATGGATCGGTAAGCAATAATTGCACCAAATGCATTGGCTATGAAAAAAAATTCTAAATTACAAAAACAAAAAGAAATTAAAATTATTTATAAATGTAAATATTTAACAAATTTTCCTTTTCTACTTCATATCTATGCATATGCCCACACTATACGCACACACAACGACCAAAAAAAAAAAAAACAACTGTAAACTACTGCACCAACAAAACAACATATATACAAACAAACATATACATTACATAAAAAACATGCAATGCACACTTGCATGTGTTGGCTGATCGAAATGGCTGTATGCAATGGATTTTACTCCCAATAACAAAAAACCAAAAAAAAAAACAAAATTTAAAAAATCACCGAAATATATACAAAAACAAATTTCCAATTGGCTGAACAAATGGGTTGTTGCAATGCTACGCGTCCAACGTCCCACGTCAAATATCACACGTCACCTGTCACCCGTCTCACGCCACAGGTCTTCGATTTCTTCGAGCGTTACGTCTCATGACCGTACCGGATATTTTACAATATTTAAACGTTCTAAAAACATCGAGCTCGATACGCTTGGCTCAACTAGTATCAATTTTTATATCTGTATGGTTAACAGCAGCGGGCATAATACATCTGGTATGTATGGTTTCAGGGCTAACCAAAACACATACGTATGTATGTATTTACATTTGTATTTAATATTTTCGTATATACACATACATAAATGCGGATATATATATATATAATAATTTGTTTTTTAGTGACTTTTACGCCACCATCCTCATCTACTATGATTTTTGTGTATATATTTTCATCTTCATTGTCACTTTCTTTGTTTTCGACTGCGCATCGACCAACAAACGCTTTGAGCAGCTGCCAGTTTACAGCCAGAGAAAATTCATACAACAGTGCGCCACTAATGGTGGCTCCTGATAAGCTCGCCCTCTAGTGGATGCACTGTGTCAAAGGCATTGTTCACTGTGTGCGTTGGTTATTAGAGAAAAATAAAATGTTATTTATTTAAATATAAAAAAAAAAACTTCTATATAGTCCAATAGTATAAATCGTTAAAGCTGTAGGGATGTGGCATTTTGCTCAAAGCCAGCTGCAATGCGGCTGGTGAATTTTTAAGCAAGCAAAGCTGTCACTACTACAGTTGCACAATGGCAAACATACATATATTGCAGTGGTTAAATCACTCAGTTACTCGCAATACATAGTGATGGCACGCAAATACATTGAACTAAATTATTCAAAAAAAAAAAAACAATATGTATTAAATGGTTAATTTTAGATTAGTGCTTAATTGAATTTGATAATACACAAATTAGCAATTGGTAGCTCACTGAGCCGACATTTTTATGCAATTTATCAAAATTTATTCTAATTACTATTTAATGGCCTGTAATACGGATTGCAACTTTGCTAGGATTGAAATTAAATAGGTGTAGGATGGCAATTTTCAGTGATGTATTGTTTCTATATAAATCACTAAAATTAAATAATAAAGATACAAATAAAAATTAATTAAAACTATTAAAAAAGCGGAATAAAATTAAAATAAAATTAAAAAATATAACCAAAAATAAAAACAAATAATGTGAAATAAAATAAACATTAAAATAGAATAAAAAAACAAATAAAATAGAATATTTGAAAAGGAAAAATAAAATTAAAATAAAATAGAATGAAATTAAATAAAAATCTTTATACAAAATACAAATAAAAATTTAAAAGAGTATCAAATAAAAGAAAAAAAATAAATAAAACAAAAAAAATTAAAACAAAGTAAAATCACATGCAATAAAAAATAATTTTAAGTAGCTCAAAACTAAGAAAAAAAATATAAAAAAAATATGAACTTAAACAAAAAAAATACAATGAAATAATTTAATAATATAATTAAAAATAAATTGAAATGAAATTGTTTATCAAATTAAATTAAATGAAATAAAATAAAAAACTAAAATCAAATTACAAATAAGTATTAAAACAAAATAAAAGAAAATGAAATAAAATAAAAAACAATAAAAATTAAAACAATAATACAAAACAAAACAAAATAAAATAAAATGAGATAAAAAATAAATTTAAGTAGTTTAAAGCTGATTAAAAAAATATAAAAACAATATGAGCTTAAACTATATGCAATGAAATAAATAAATTATATAATTAAAAATAAATGAAAATGAAATTAGATAATCAAAAATAGAAAAAATTTTCAAAATAAAATAAAATAAAAATTTGTATTCAACTAAATAAAATAAATTAAATTTGTGAATCAAAATAAAGTAACATAACACGACTGATTGCCATCTCTACTGGTATCTTTTTTCAAACTCCCCAGTTATTTTTTGTGAAATCGCTCACCTTTTACTCTTCACGCGATCTTCAAAATATTCTGAAAAGTAGTCAAGCTGGACAACCTGAGTGTAATATGCTTTTAATTTTCGTTTGACGATTTTTTTGTAGTTAAAGGATTTTTTATTATCTAAAAACTTCTGCATTATCATTTTAAAGGCCATCAACCCTGCTACACTACATGAGGAGGCACCAAGGTTTCATGCAGGCCTTGCCAACATAGCACTGCTGTTCGAGCAACATGCTCAAGATTTTTCGGCCACAACACACTTGGAAAGCGTGATTTATATATATTATAATTTGTGAAAATACAAAAAATGTGTGCCGATTTAGTTGTGACCTAGAATTGGACCAAAAAGTCCATTTTTTTAGTAAAATTTTGGATGAAATTTTAGTTTTCATTATACCAGTTGAAAGTATTCAGACAGTATTTTTGTTACAGAAATTAGCATTTTATCCTCTGACCAAATGACATTACGATAATGACATTACCAGTTATAAAAAAATCAGATTTTTCCGTAATGAAATTACCATTAATGATAGTTATACTAATACTAAAAATGACAACTGAAATCACTGAAGAAAATACAGATTATCATTATATGTTATCGCTGGAATTAGCAAATTCTCCTATACATGTATTCTTTAAGGCTCATTAAATTATTATACTCTATACGTATGATCAATGTAAAAGTACAAGTGAGTTACGTATACGCAGTGTGCCTCCATAAAAATTGTGTAGTTGAATTTTTGCTGTAGTTAAGTAGTCTAAGCTTTAAAGCCTTGACTATTGAATTTATTGAAAAGCCATTTTGCAATCCGTAATGCAACAAATAGAAATTGTATTTGCGTTTACAACAAATCTATGTGTTATGTTAAGTTAAAATTTTTTTTGTTTTTTGGTTGATTTATTTATATTTCCTTGCATTGCTGCATTTATTTAAAATTTAGCTGGAAAACTCTGGCGATCCGCTGGATTTTAATAATGCTCATCGATTATCCTATTGGACCTGTGTCTATTTCCTAATTGTGACCATGTCAACGGTAGGATATGGTGACGTTTACTGTGAGACTGTATTGGGAAGGACATTCCTTGTGTTCTTTCTACTCGTCGGCTTGGTAAGTTGTAATTCTTACATCACATTAACACACACGCTTATACATTGAAAATACTCAAATATGTAAATGAAATTACTGAATTAAAGAAAAAAACTAAAAAATAATAAAAAAATTAAAAAATTGGAGAACAAATTAGATCAACGAAAAAAAATTAAAATTAAATAAACAATTAAAAAAATATAAAGAATTAATAAAAAGAATTTTTATTGAGTTAAAAAATATGCGAAGCCCAGAAAACAAATTTAATAATTGAATTATAAAACAAAATATAGAAGTTTCAGCATATATTCTGCGCCAAACAATTTCACTACGATATGAGATAGACAATAGAAAGTGTACGGTATATAATGAGGTTTATGGGAAAAGTGAGTTGAAAGAGTATTATGTATATTGAAAGCGTAATATTAATCCACAAATAAATATATAACATATTTACACGTATCACCTGATATTCTACTCCAAAAAAAAAGAAGCAAAAAAATGAAAAAAAACGAAAAAATGATTTGCTTTTATATCCATCCTTCAAGCAACAAGTGAAACTGATTTAATGACCTGCTTTATAAATGAGAGCTTTATTAGGAACAACCTCACACCCTTATACCCATACAAGCGCTTTGGTAGCTGTGAGCTTTCTTAGAATTGAATTTTTTTTAATTTGTTTAGCATGGCAGCAAAAAAAAAATTGAATGATATAAAAGCCACCCTTAAATATAACCAACTCGACCTATGCCCCTCAAAAATTGTAGTGGTGTGAATAGAAGATCTACAAAAACAAAAAAAAAAAAAAAAAATTAAACGAAATGTAGCTACAAATTTTAAATTATTTATGGTATCTAACATTTTTTTGTATTAAACTCTAGCTTTAATTACGCTTTACCCTCAACACAAGCAGATAATAAAGAGAAAAAAATTTAAACTAAATTAGTGTGTATGGTAAAAATATATTTGAAGGTTTTTAAATAATTTAATAAATTTACTATTTTTCCACAACAATAACTAGCAGTCGTACAATTAATCATGTATACGATAGTGTCAACCAGAAACCCTAAAATTTTTTTCTTAGGATTTTTGTTTGAAATTCTAATTTTTAAATAATTAATACAAGTAGTTAAAGGCAGTAAATATATACTTAGTTTTAATTGATTTTGCTAAATAAAATTAAAATAAAGTTACTAGTTTTTCCCTGTTCCAATACTACCAATTTTTCTTCCTTTCGAGCAGTTACTAAGTTTTGAATATCATACAGTTAGAAATAAAAGCAAAAAAAAAAAAAATAGGTTTAATAATATTATACTTTTTTTCAAACTTCACACATTTAATTAAAGCTTCATGTGCTCCGTCACTAATTTTGAACCAATGATTAAAAATTTTTTTTCTCTCATTAAAGTTAAATATTCAAAATTGTAAATTAGACATCAAAAAGCTAATACACATTTATGCACAGGTTTTTTATTTCAACCAATGCTTTCCCCACCCCCTTCTTACTATTTCACGCTTACACATTTGACTTCAAAAGTAAATAAAACTCAAAATTATTTTGAAAAATTCAAAATTAAAGCAAAAATTTTTTGCTTATTTTTAACTTTGCTTTTAGTAGTAATTTATATGTAATAATTTTTTTTAATCACGCATGCATATAATTTTCATTATGATATTTTTTTTTAATATAAAAATAAAAATATAATACAACGGTAAATATGTAGTAGTTATGCACATTTACTTTAATTTTCTGTATTAATTTTTTTTTTGTAGCGATATCTTCATTATATTTTATGAATATTTTACTCACAAAGTGACAAAAAATATCTTAGGTAAGCCTATGATGATTGGCGCCATCTGGCGTGAATGTTTAATAAAAAATTGGCCGGTAATATCTCAAACCCATTTTCACGGTTTTGCACCCTGAAAAATAAAGAACAGACAGTCAGGCAGAAAATAAAAGGTTGTCCTGCTTTGGGGAAGCAGATATTTAGGACAAGACAAATATTATGTTAAATTATTATTTATAATAAAAATAAAATTTATATTATTCCCTTGAATTGATACATCGAGCGGTTAGACTCTTAGACAGCTGAACTTCATAGAAAAGTAGAGGTGGTATGGAATTACAATTCCTCTTTTAGTATAATAAACGTATTGGGTTGAGCTCCGGGGTGAGCGAGGGGTGAGAGAATGTAGGTGCTGCGAAGTGACTATTTCTTCTGCTATGTTAGAGATGGGGCAAAATGGCCATTCCATTGTTGCGACAACAATTTATTGAGCACTGTTTCCCTTCAACCTATAGTTGAGCGAGAGTGTGCTCTAAGTAGTTTTGTAAGCCAAGCGTAAATTTTTTTTTTTCAGATTCTATTTCGCACACAATTTGCTGCAAGCCGCGGAATTCATGGAAGAAAAATCACTTTAGAAAAATGTCCATAGTTCCGCCATTTTCAAATATTTTTTTTGTTGTAAATTAAATTATTTTCTATTTAAATAAAATAAGATTGAAAAAGGTTTTTTGGCGTTTACATTGGCCTCACCCCTTAAAGCAGCCTAAAAAAGCCATTGACTGTGTCTTATGTGTTTATTTGAGATTCTCTCAGAAACACACAATTTTATTTAACCTCACCGCACCTTAGTGCCTCCAGTTCCAAATTTTCTGCGTTACCATTAGTCAATTTTTATATTATATTTTAAAGTTTCGCTTTCCTTAGCCGAAAAAATTGGAGAAAAAACAAATAAGTGCCAATGCGGCACTCACCAGAGTTGCCAATCTTCGAGTATTATAACATTTCTGTACATTACACGCCCTGTAAAGATCTCTACTAGCATTTTTGTACATTCATTTTCGTGTGGTTAATGACAGAGTTATTTTAAAAGCAGCTAAGAAAATCAAAAACTGCTTTTGCCGATTTCTCAAAATAAATAAGGTGCTCTCTTCCTACCTCCATGTTTGAAAGTAGATTCGAAGGAAAAGCAGCTAAAGTACAATTCGTAGGCTAAATTTAAGTAGAAAATCAAAAATATGCAACTAATGTCTTCCATGTGGCGGCGAAAAGTTTTTTCCGGTAGCCCAGCTCGTTTGTATACGTAAAGCACTTCTTGACACATGACATTTTCATTAAAAAATAATTAAAAAAAATTTGCTTTTTGAGCAAAATACTAATGTTTGAAAATATTTTAGAATATGACATTTTTGTTACTAAAAAATATTTATAATATTAGTTTATTTATGAATAATGAAGTTATTTGTTTTGGAAAAAAAACAAACACCGCGAAAAAAAATAATTTAAAAAAAAACTTTGTATACATTTTAAGTACATAAAATACTTACAAACACATTTAAACGAGTACACATATAAATATCTCATAATAAAATTCTAGGCAATGTTTGCCAGCAGTATACCGGAAATAATAGAGCTTGTTGGTAGTGGCAATAAATACGGCGGTGAACTGAAAAGAGAACACGGAAAGAGGTAGTCTAAAGAAAATCAATTTGCAAAAAAAGCATTAAATGAATAAACAATAAGTATTTTCAATTAAAAGAAATACATATAAATTTATATATACACCAAATACTCGTATTACATTCGTACATAATACAATGATAAAAAAATTATTTATACATAAACGTACATAATAAACCTAAATATAATAAAAACTACTAAGAGTCCAAGTATATGTTTCATAGTAATTGTTACTCTTATTACTTCTTATGCATTTAAAAGCTCAAAGGATGAGACACATACAACTTTTTATAAATAGTCATTACTTTTATTAAACATAGTTTAATTATTATTTTTCTTTTATTTTATTTGTTTTGTTTAATTTTCTGATTTTTTTGCTTAAACACTGTAAAAGCCTGCAATAAAATATGTTTAAAATAGCGAAAACAGTTTTGTTTTTTAATATAAAATTATTAATTTTACATATTTCAATTCAATTTTAATATATTCCTAGATGTAGGCAACGTTTCTAAAATACAGAGACTCAGAAATATAAAAGAAATTCAAAGACAAAACGTTGCCTACAATTAGGGGCGTTGCTAACGTCTAGCAATGTTCAAAACCCCAAAGCGATATGTGAGTTAAAGTAATATATTGTGATTTATTTTTTAGTCTACTTTAAATTGCAAATATTCACCATACCAACTTCAAGTAAATTCAAACAGAAATAGATTTTAAAATTTGATGAGAGAGGAAAAAAATTACGGTAATGTTTCAAAAATTTCGACAGAGCGTTAATTATTTGGTTTGCAGTCTTTTATGAATAACACAAAAGTAAAGTTGAATTTAGCAAGCAAAAGTGTTTGATACCTGTTTTTGAGCTTTTATTTGTTTGCAATTATAGTATTTTTTTTAATTAATTAGTATAAAAGGGAGTTGCATGAAAGGCATTTTTTTTTTATTAATTAAAATTCTACTCCCAAAATTTTTAAAAGTAATCATTGAAACACTCATCACATGCGCTAGAAAAATTCTACTATGTTTATATTTTGTGATTTACTTGATGAATTTTTCATATATTTTATTTTTTAATTTATTTTTTTTTTTCAATAATAAAACAACTCGGAACATATTTTTTTTATTCCCTCAAAGTAACTGAAAATTTCGTCAAATCTAAATGTCTTAAACGCGTGATATAAATATACATATGTTTCAAAATCGCTTTTGTGCTCTCTTTGCTATCCCTTTAATAGATTGAAAAAGTAAAAATTATCGAAAATATTCTACACATGTATTTAATTAAAATTCTTGCACAAATTAAAAAAAAAAACCGTCGCTGTCTATAAAATTTCGCTAATGTACAAAAGCCAATGCTTTAAATGTAAAATTGTTTTAACACTTTTTCAATGCTTTCCCAAGAGCATATTTCTTATATAAGGATTAGTCTGTTACCCTTTTGATTTATATTTATATACTCACTACATACTAAAATATATAAACATTATACATATTGTTTTCGTTTTTGCTTTTAACATAATTAAAATATATATTATTAATTCTAAATATAAAAAAGTTTAATGGAAAAATAAAGAGTTTTCTAACCAAAATGATGAGTCCCACATATAAGTTTTACGCTCTAGCCGTTCAACTGTCTAGTACAAAATATGTATAAATGTGAAGAAAAAGCAGTTAATTACCGTTGCTGATATTTCTATTGTATTTTCGTTTTAAAGTTCACTTAATGCGAAAGATAATGTTTTTTCGTGTGACAGTAGCTACTTTTCATAACCAAGTATTTACTTTTTCTCATCGTATATACTTCAGTTTATACTTTATATCTTTCAGCCTACGCATTTTATTTGAATTCACTTGTCATTGATTTAAAAAAATATTAATTTCATTACTACAGTTCATTTCTATTCCTTATATACTATGCAAGGAAAATCCTCTTTTATATAGGAAATTCATTTTATATTAATCAATAAAAATACTCATATCTGTTTGACTTGTCTTTTAGCATCATCACGTGTGCGTTAATTCGTTGTTATTGTTTAGCATTTACTTGCAGTTTTCTTTTAGGTTAGCGTTTATAATTATAATTTATTCTATTTCATACAAAGTAGAATTTTTATTACATGTATCTTATTGTGTAATATCGATTTTTGATTTATCCACTTAAAAATAATGTTCTCTGAATAGAATTACATTCGAATTGAACGCATAAAAATATTTTATAACTGAAAGCTACAGAATAATAACAGTGCGAAGCGGATCATACTTACCTATATCCAAATCATGGCCAATCTATCGATGATCCCTTTTGCCCTAAATGGTCCATTTCAAGGGAAAATCAAGTATTCCATTGAAGTTTAAAGTAATTTGACTAAATCGAACCATGAATATATGTACATATATATTTTTATACAAATAGATCGATCATATTGTAAAGAAACGGAATTTCAAGTAAAAAGTACTATAAATACGATTTTTTCGCGAAAGCCACCCCTGTGCCGGATGTTAAGTAAATGGAACCATAAATACGGTATTTTTGAATAGGCCAGTCCCTGATCCATATCTCGGTTAGTAGAGTGATCTTCCTGCTGATCAATGCAAGAAGCTACCGATGTCCAAGATTTGAAGTAAATTGAACTATTGATGAGTGCATAAGTTCGTGCCCGATTTCAAGTGCAAACTAAAATTGAAATTTTTTGAAGAGAGCGCTTTTATTAATCAATTATGTATTCGCCATTATGTTCGGCAATCCACTCCCAACGTTCAACCAATTTACGGATGCCTGATTCATAGAAATCGCGCGGTTTCTCGTTGAAAAAGGTGTCAAGGTGGTTTTTTGACGTCTTCCACATTTTTAAATTTTTTTCCACTCAAATTGTTCTGCAGCGATCGAAACAAATGATAATCAGAAGGTGCAATGTCGGGTGAATATGGGGGATGCGGCATGATTTCCCAATTCATCTCCTTCAGTTTGGCCAGGGTCGGTTTTGCAACACGTGGCCTGGCGTTGTCATGATGGAAAAGAACTCCTTTGCGATTGGCCAAAATCGGACGTTTTTCATCAATTGCTTTCTTCAATTCGACCAATTGCTGACAATACTTGTTGGCAGTGATCGTTTCTCCAGCTGGCAAGAGCTCAAAATAGATCACGCCTCGGATATCCCACCAAATGCACAGCAGTACCTTCATCGGATGCAATCCACCTTTCGACATCGGTTCCGCCCCATGTTCTTTTGCGTTGAACACTGTTGTACAGGATCCATTTTCCATCACCAGTCACGAGCCGATCCAAAAAAGGTTCGTTTTTGATCCGTCAAAGCAAAGAAATTGCTGTTGACATACGGTCCACTTTGTTTTTTTCACTCAACTGATGTGGCACCCATGTATCGAGCTTCAAAGTGTACCCAACCTTTTTTAAACGTTCAATTCACTGGCAACCTCTTCCGTCAAAATACGTGAGTTATTCGGAACTAAAGTCCTTAGAACATCGTCATCAAGCTCAGAAGGCCGTCCACTGCGAGGTTGATCTTCGAGGTTAAAATCTCCAGAACGAAATTTCGCGAACCGTCTCTTTACTGTGCGGTGTGGAGGAGCGCGGTCCAAATAAACTTCGCGAATATCTTTAGTTGCAGCGCCTACTGTTTTTCCTTTGCGGAATTCGTATAACATAGTATGACGCATATGATCTTTTTCGTTGTCCATCTTCCATGCGTCTTTTCACTAAGCAGCTCAAATCAAAATGAAGTTATTTTATGCTTGATTTACAGTTCGGACTGTGACCTTTCCAACGATATATAATATGTATATATTTCTTTCACGAGCGCCACTCTCAAACGATTCAAACGGCATCCAGCGGAATCGGGCACGAACTTATGCACTCATCCAATATAAATACGATTTTTTTTTTAATAATCTACGGTACTGAGTAAAGCAAGTCAATAAACACGGTATTTTCGAATAATTCAGTCCCTGGTCAACTTTTTGGAATAAAATAATTTCGTACAAACCTTTCGAAAAACTCTAAAAAGAGACTGAAAATTTTTGAGTATGATCTGCTGGGTAGTTTCACAAATCACTGGAATAAAACATGCAAATAAAATTATGATAACCAAATCTTTTAGATTAAAGCGAAGAAAGAATAAAAATAAAAGTAAGCTCGTTTGGTTTATTTCATTTATTTGTAAAAATTCCATGTTATACAATACGATATTAAAAGCATATTAATTTTCGCCTAAAATAGCATTTTTGACTGCCGATCTTTTACATAAGAACGCCTTTGATTCCCTAAGTAGTAGAGTAGTGCCGAGGTCTTCTCTTTATTTTAAAACCTATAATTATACAAAATGGTGAATACATTTGTTATGAAGCCAAGAAATAACTCAAAAGATTTCGCCACAGCGCTTAATAGCGCCGGAGAGCCTTTTCACTGGTGGTACTCAAGTATATCAGAACAAAATATTTGCTTAAGCCTTAAATACCTCAGACTCTCAACTATCTCAACAGTGTAAAATTTTGAATTTTATTTTCACGTAAACACCATATCTAATGGCCATCAAAAACGTATATAAAACCACTGTTTTTTTTTTAATATAGATATATATAATATAGGTTGACTACATGTATGTTACTTGAATATATAATCAATAAATTTATATTTTTATTATTTTGAAAAAGTAACACAAATTTTTAGGATTTTGTATGCTTTTCTAACACCAAGCATAGGACTAACACATATAAAAAATTATAATTTAATTTGATATATTTTTATTTAAATTTTAATTTATATTTTGGCACACTTTTGATTCACATTAACAATACCTTTCGTTCGTTTTACACACGCACTCACCCATTTAAGTAATTAATAACATTTTATTTTCACTCTTCGCTCTCGCTCAGTTACACCACTTTCACTCTAACGTCTTTCCCAAATGTGCTGCCTCTCAATTACATACATACATGTCTATTGTATATAGCATAACTCATATGACTAGTTTTTATAATAAATTAATTTCAAATAA